ACACATGCACAGTAGCACAAGTTTTCTAAAGTATAAAGAAATTAATACAGTTTTAAAGATGATCCACAGAAGCTGAGATGTGCTGCTCTAGTCTGAAGTCAGGCAGAAGGTAGGGAAGAGTGGCACCTCGGAAACTAACTGTATACTGTAATCTCCCATTCAAAATTAAAGAAATGGGTATGTGTGTGTGCGTGCGCACATGCATGAGTAAAACAAAAAATGACATAGACCATTTATTTACTTTTACACATAGAGCAATTTATACAGGTATAAATTTCCATCTGCCCCTTTTCTCATTTGGCTCTTATCTAGCCTTTTTTCTTGAAGTTCAAGTGAAGTCAGAGATTATAAAATAATGCTAATCCAACATTTCAGTAAAAGAAATGCATCTAGATCTACTGCAATTTATACAAAATTCACATAATAACAAACATTTTAAAGAGTCTGGTAACAATATGCATTGTAATTATTAGCAAAATAACACTACATGAAATAAAAATTTAACTGGGGGAAATGGTCTATCTGTACCTCATTAATGTGTTTGTATGTTTTGATCAAATCAACGGAGAGTTTCCTCAAAGGAGCCGAAGCTGGATCACGGAAAGTTTGGGGCATCCGCCTCTGCAACATGAGAATATCAGGCATCATCTTAGACAAAAAAACCCAGCACTTTCAACTAAATAATAACTACACTATTATATTGCATTCCCCTCAAAAAGTGAGCGACTAGTCCTATCAGCTCTACCTTTAACTGATGTACAAAAACATTTTTAACGTCTAGTATTTATAAAAATAAGTGTTTAGATAAAAGTAACTACTAATACGTGCAATATTCTCAAAAGGTTTTGGCACAAAAATCAACCATTCCAATCTCTTATGTATTGCCTTCTCTCCATTACCTCCCTCCAGGGTCCTCTAAGTCACCACACACTTAAAAAACACAAATATATTTAAAAACAAAAATAAAAATACAATGGATACAGAAATAAGTATTTAAATACTAAAATGCCACACGTGTGATTTTGGAACTGCATAGTCGCTATACTTGAAAATTTATTAGTTTCAACATTACAGAAGAAAAGCTGGAATGCCTATGTTCTACAGTATCTAGGGGGAACCAGATCTATTACAGACAAATCTAAAGCATCATGTATGTTTTTAAAATATTGAAATGCCACCTACTTTTATATATTAAAACTGACTTGTTTAAAAGTTTCAAAAAAATACACTTTAAACAACAGTCAACACAATTTCTTTACGTTTTTAAGGAAACAGAAGTTCTCCTGCTTCCAGTTCATGATTAGGAGAAGTATGTTGAGTGGGTCAGGAAGGGACATCAACAAACATCTTCGGGAACGTTCATCTCTCTCTCTTCTATGTATACTCTAGTTTGCTGCCTGCTCAAGTTTCAGTCTAGCTGTTACTGAAAGCACCTCTTGCAGAGTTTAGAGAAAAGCACACACCATCAGTAAAGCAGAGAAACTGGTTAACTATCAAATTGTGAAAGAAAACTGAAAGAGAGACCTGGAAAAAGGAGAAAGGAGGAGAATTATTTCCCACACCTGCCCCCCATCTTCTTCACTTAATGTAGTAATTTAACTACTTGCAAATAGGGCCATGCAAACAGATGATTTCCAGTTGGATGGCCAAACAAAAAAAATGTTGAATTGTCACAAAGGGATTCAGCTTTTCATCTTGTCAAGGGGGTAGCGGGTGGCCTGTCTGGATGAAAGCAGGGATCTGACCTCTGTGGTGTGCCAACCCACCAGATTATACAGTCATTCTCACTGTCTTCTCTTTCTGAACAAATCGCACAGTCTACTTCACTAACTGGAATCACATCAACAGGTGAGATCAAACAACCCACCCCAGAATACCAGTTTAGAGTACTCTCCTAGGTGATATGGATTGGCATCTCCTCAGGCAGAGGAAGGAACCTAACCCAGGTCACTACCACCCCAGAGAAGTGCTCTAACTACCATGTTTTTTGGAAAAACGGCAACAGCTACAACACCCAGCTTATCCTACCAGAAAGGCAACCTGAGAAAATTAAGCTCATTTCTTTCCTTCTCGTAAGTCCCGAACCATCACTTTGCAAGTTAAAATATGGCTTCAGCTATAGTTATACAGCCTCACTGAAGATTAGTAGGGCTGCTAACATTACTGAAGTCGTAATTTGACCTGTATAAGCTTTTTAGTTACATTCTAAAAAGGGAGGAGGGAAGAAAGAGTTGGGGAAGAGGAAGACTGACAAGGAGGGAAACTTACTATCTTCTTTTTCCTCCAAAGCCTGTATTTAAAAAGTTTTAGCTACATTCTTAAGCATATACTGTTGTGTATTATGGTAATTCTGCCTTCCTTTGGCCTCAAAGGCTGCTCTACTGCAAAAAAACAAAAGCCTTCTTTTGCAGGCTCCAGTCTCTATCTGGTGGCCAGACGACAACATTGCAGTCCCATGAAAACTGAACACTGAAACACAATTACCAAAACATTTAGAAGTACGAGGTAAGTATTTTCATTTCAATGACACTTGTCGGTAAACAATACTGTTCCATCTTCATTATCTTAATTTAGGTTATAGGGAGCTGTCATACTCATAGCAGGTGGTGCCACTAAGGAATTTAAATCACAAGTAAAGGGATTAAATTTTCAACTCCTCATAAACCGATCATCAACCAGCATACAAATCTACTGTTGAGAATCAATATATAGTAATCACTTAGAATAGGATGGAATTAAATAAATAGGTAGCAAATCAAAGAGTCCCAACTATGTAAAGTAAATTGATCTGTTTTCATTTCAGAATTGATCCGGAGCAACTTGAAAGATTGTATGGTCTAATTCTACAGTTGATGACATTTTAGTCTTATTGGGTTTGATAAAAGATGGAATAGATAAGCATTCAACTGTCAAAAATCCCTCAGCACATGAGGCCCTGTACTCTACTGGTTCAGAAAATGACAACTATGCTTTATTACAGAATATTTATAACTTGTATTTATGATATTTACCCTACAAAATGTATGATCTAACAGAAAGAGAGATTTTGATGCTTTATGAGATGTGCAATTTATTAAGGAATTGTAAAGATTCTGGCTACATATGGCATTGTTTTGATTTGACTAACAGTGTACAATGAAAGGATTTTATATTTTTATCGCTCTGACTAAAAAATCTATTATTTTAAAAGACTTATTGAATAGATTTATAGATTTCAACAGCTAAAGGGACAACTGGTTCTTCTGAGCTCATTATCTGCAGATCTCATGCTATTAAATCACACACCTCTAAACCAAGTCTAGTAATTTATTTATCTTTGGTTATAGCAAATATTCCAGAAAGATATCCAATCCTGATATAAGGACATCAAAATATCAGCTACCGGCCCCTGTTATACATTATTTAGATAAATTTAAAAGCCTAATTTAGTAGCAGGTGCTTTTTATCCTTGTCTAGCAATTTGTAAACCAGTTCTTCACTGATGGCAGATTAAGGCTATGTCTGCTCAATAGGGGCAACTGCCACTAACTGCACTGCTAATGCTATAGGAGCAAGTGTGGACACAGCTCTGCTTTCAGAAAAAAGGTGTTTTTTCTTGCTGTCCTCACGTCAGCTTCCTCTGACTCTCCAAAGTTCTCTGACAGAGCTGAGGCCATAGCAGAGGTTTGGCAAACACAGTTACACCGGCTATGTGGTGTGATTTTCCCACGCCCCTAGCTGATACAGCTCTGCCAAGAGAAATCTGTAAAAGACATGAGCTCAGTTATCTTCTGATACTATTTATGTACTGCAGGACCTTTTCCTATTTCTACTAATGTAGTAAAAGTGTGATGTATAGAACTGCACAAGAACACTATCTGTGAAACAAACCTGAATCATCTTCACGTCAATACTTTCTGTTCTTTATACATGAATCTTTAAGGGGCTTTTTAAATTATTATTTTAGATTTACAATAATCCCAATTTTAACTTCTGTATTTACTACTACATATTGGGTTAATAAATTTTCCCCTACTCTTCCAAACTTGAACGTTTTAGTTCTCCTTTGTGATCCATTTAAGAAAATACAGACTTTTACACAATACTAGAAATCAATACAGTTAATACTTTAAATCTGTACTCACACTAAAAGTGTAAAACATTTTAAAAGGCCATATCAGAAAGTAGCAAGTGAAAAACATGGTCCAGTTTAAGTGACATTTCTGGTCCTTTTCTCACTCAGGACAGGGACTGGTGAAGGCACAAGACAATCTTCTACTCAAAAAAAGGAAGTATGGAACTATCACAAAAAGTGCCACTACATCGTTTGGCTTTCTGATTGAAGCACTGGCTGTAAGGATGATCAGTATAACTGTGAGGAAGATGGACACTCCATATCAACAATGTTAGTTAGCTACAAGATTAATTACAGACTGCAGAACCATATCAGAATTCCAAAAATCTCTAATTGCAGTAAAGGTGGTCTCTGTGAAACAACTGTTTCAGATCTTTGTCTCATATGAAGATAAAAAACTATACTTGTAACAAAGAGAGAAAATTAATGGTCCTCAATCTAACCTCTTGGTTTTGCGACTCTGCTGAACATCAATTCTATCAAGTTATGTGGAAGTCACACCTCAGCCTCCACCCTAGACAAATCCAGCTCATTGTTTTTATTTTATTGACTTCTTATGATACATACATTTCTGAAAAAAGTTTTGGGCAATGTGACTATCCTATTAAAAAGATGACTAACACTAGCAGGTAACACAGGATTACCTGTTTAATCTATTTGGGAAATGTTTGAAACAATGACAATTTCCAATTTTTATCTGACATCATTAGAAGGATCAACCTTGTCTCAGAATGGTCTTGCTAGATGGAGAGGAAACTTAGAGATTTTTAAAGGAATTACCTAAGAAGTCTGGTGACCCAGAGAGGGGACTGTCTTATACTACCCAGCCAGATGTAGAACAAATGATGAGAGCTCTGAGAGAAATGCACACCTCAGGCAGGTCACTACATGACAATGGGCAAATCTGTAAATTATGAATTGTTTGCTTGTAGCATCGTAAGACTAAATGAAAACCAGAGTCAGCTTCTTGGATCTAAGAAGTTTCTAATTTGCTGGGTAATATAAGACAGTATAATATCACAACATTTGAAACAAAGATTTCCCCAATTCATCCCACTATTTCTGGCAGTATATGAGAATGTCCTTTAAAGGGAGATATTTTAAATACTTATTTTCCTAATAATCTGAGGTTCCAAAAAACTGCAGTTTCTTTCCTGAACTTTATTTTAAATAAAACTAGAGTTAGATAAAATCCTCAGTTTACAGTCTAGCAAATTCATGATAAACTTTCTTCCCCCACTAAAATTAAGAATTGGGTTCATTCAAAAGATGAAATATTTGAGTGTTAAGGAAAGGCTCTCTCAGCAGCAGAAAAACCTGCCAGCTAAAGCAGTGAATTTGAACAGTAGCTACTGGTGCAGTGCAGTGCTGTAATCTGGCCAGCAGATGGAGGATGGAGTCTGTAAAACTAAGCATGCTGTCCAATGGTTTCAAGCAAGCCAACTATCTCAAGACTCTCACGCTGTTTACAAATACAGCTAATGAATAAACAAAGCAAAGAAACTTTCACAGGAGTGAAGGGCTCCAAAAGAGTATTACTGAACATGTAACAGAACTATGAAAGCACAAGAGACCCTGTCCCCAGTGCATGCGATCCTCTACAAGGACTGATAGTACCAAAACCAACCAGGGTCTGATACCAACCACTATTACAGTGTGTGGAAATCCAGAGAAATGTGCGCTCAGAGCCCTAAGTTTACCAGTAGTGATGTGTGAACCAACAGCCTACTGAAGGGTCAGAATGCCTATTCTCCAGAAAATTATGGATGCTTACAGGTGTTTATAAAAATAAATCAAACGGCACTTTACTTCAAACTTGGTGAGCTCCTGCACTGAGCCTAACATACGCCCAAAAGAAGCAGTGCATTAGATGCACCTGGCTCGCCAAACATCTGAATAGATCAAGCAGTTTAGTGGGGCTTTTTTGGCACTTTTATCTAATAACCGATTGAATCAGCTATTAGATAAAAGTGCCAAAAAGCCCTGTTGAAGCACCCGATCTATACAGACACTGCGGAGCTGGGTCAAACTAACATACTGCCTCTTCCAGTAAAGTGTGTCTTTTTGGATTTTATATAAACATCTGTAAGCCTATGTTCCCAGTACCTGCTGCTGTAGGACACAGACAGGCTTGGTAAAGTTTGTGGTTATTTATTTTAATTTTACTATAGTGCCTATGAGCCAGAAAGCCCATAGGCAATTTACAAACACAAGACCAAAAGAGGTCTTTGATACAAAGAGCTTACAAACCAAGAAGGTAAGAGACAACAGATGGCCATAAAAACAGACAGGGAAGTACAAGAAACAACAAGGTAAAATTGGTCACCATGACTGCAAAGGAATTCAGTCTCCCAGACACCTATTAGTCATCAAGTTCTATTTTTAAGCATCATAGAAAAGGAGAATTTTGCGAAGTGTTTTGGAGGACAGCAAGTTAGCTTTACAGACAAGCTTTTAAAAAAAAGTTAGTATAAAACAAAAGAAACTGGCATCCGGAGCCAATTAGATTTTCATCTTGGTAGTGAATGAGAGATGACAGGCAGTGGGGAAATATACCATAAAAGGATCCAGGGGGTTAAAGACAAGTAGATGGTTTCAAATGATAGACAAAAGGGTGCCAATGGAGACATAGAAGATGTTGGTATATTGCTGAAGCGATGGCATAGGAAATAATCTTTGCAACAGCATTTATAACAGATGCAGAAAAAGCAAAAATATATTTGTCAGGGCTAGGGAGAAAGCAGTTGTAATAAAGGCAAAATGAGACCACAGATGGGAGTTTAAGCTGTGCACGTGAATAAGAAAGGCCATTACCTTAGATACGTTACACAGAAAACATCTGTAAGATTAGCTCAGTCTAAATAAAGGTCCAAGTGGAAGACAGCATCCAGGTTATGGTCCCACATGACAACCAAAATTATGGTGGTGTTCAGAGCAAGCAAAAAAGAAAGTACTGCAAAGGGCTTTGAGTGAGTAAAGAGATTAACTGCTCTGTTTTATCTAAACTAAGTATGAGCTGACAGCTAAACATCCACAAGGGGATAAAGAGAGAGGCTCAGATTTTTGTTTTGACAGAAGGAAATCATCAGCTTAAGATGTTAAATTTTTGTTTGCAGATCAGATAAACCAGAGATAAAAATGCAAAAGGAGAAGAGAAGGGGACCAAGGACAGTGCCTTGTGGAATCTCCAATAGGAAGCTGGAGAAGGATGGAGATGATTCCAAGGAAGTCTGAAGGAGTGATTAGAGAGAAAGGAGGAGAATCAGAAGAAAGCTGTGGAATTCAACAGTACACTACTGAAGCAAAATGAACTCTTCTGCCTTCATTTGGGTGCAACTGGCTCCACCTCTCTTCTTTGTGGCCTATTCCCACCGAGCGACATCACCTTTTTCAAAACTTAATGAGCTGGCACCTTTAATGGAGTTAATTATCAGAGACAACCCAGAGAGCTACTTTTCAGATTTCTGATATCCAGGAAAAAAACCCACTTTTAACCACCTTGATTGCTGACAAAGTTGATAGTACATCCTGAACTTCTTTAGTGGATCTTGCTTCTTGACTTCAAAGTGGAAATGACTGTCACACTCCTACAGATGTGGGTACAGCAGGACCATCCAAGCAAGCAACCATGGATTACAGCACTTCTAGATAATTCATGCAGAGCACTATCCACAGGGCTGGCAAGTGGCAGTACAGCTTCAGACATGTACTCTGAATTACATTGTTGTCAACTTAATATAAAGCTAGGTTCTTACACAGACCAGCTGTTGACATGAAGACAGGAAGGAATTCTTCCTTTAGTCAATGATTCCACCTTGAGTTTACAGATCACAGTCTACTCTGGTACTCCATCTTGACTCATAAAATTCATCCCAATTCCTGTACATACCTAGTGCTTGTATTGGACCAGCCTGAGATCTGCAAATGCCCTGATATTGTGTAACAAAGAAATCACTGATTGCATGCTAATTTGGGACATGGATCCAAAGTCATAAGGAGCACAGCAGCACTCTCAAACTGACAGACTGATCCTGTAATTTTACTCTGCATCTTCTTAGCAATCCAAAATTAAGGATGCTTTCATCAGATGTAGTATTTGGTACAGGTCACCACTATTGGGAAATGTGAGGCAGATCAATGAAGCCCTCTGTTCCCACTGGTCTGAGGAAACCAGAATAATTGCTGGTATATTCTACAGATTCTGCAGGTCATCTGAAGTCTTGTACATGCTGCTGCTTTCTGGTAATAGAATAAGATGACCAAATGAAAAATCTGATGAAATAGGATTCTTCTTAAAAACCTAAGGCTGCTGTGTGCAACAACATGGTATAGGCTATCCACTGAGCAAGAAGCAATACACTTTCAGGTCGACTCCTAGGGCTCCAAACATTCTTCTGTGGGTATGAAATAAATTGGACTTTGCCAGGACTCTTTTTAGGGATAAAAGCAATATTTTCCCTGGTGGATAGGGGTAGATTTATAGAGGCAAAAGCTCATTAGATCAAGACAAATATTACTGTATTGCAGGAAGCCTACGTTTCATTTGTGGAAAAAAGAGATCTTTAAGCTTCTGGAGCAATCTGCCAAGCAGGACTGACTCTTCAACAAGGTTGGCCATGATCATTTATCTAATCAGCTGATAACTGCTTCACTCTACAGGAATCTCTCTTTGCTGCCATAGAGACCATCTGGGTTTTCAAGGAAGTTGTATGCTGTATGTCATATCTATCATAAAAAGCACAGTAGATCCCAAAAGGGTGGCACTTGACATCTATCCTTCTCTTAACATTAGAGAACATAAAAAAAACACCAAATCCAATCAAATGCTGACTTATAAATGTTTTCCCCTACAATGCTCCTTGTAGAGGTAGGTTGTGAACTCCACACACCTTTAAACACAGAAGTGATCTTCCTCGTTCTTTTTCAAAAGGGAAAGCATATCCTCTGACAGTTAGGATCACCCACTATGTCACTCTGGAGAGGCTTGCATTCACTTATGGATTCCTCTGAAAGATCTCAGCAACCCTTTGTTTTTTTTTTCATTCGCACCTTATCCTAAGTCTGAGGATCATATATTTCTTGGGGACTGATCCTGAGCATCCTCAGTCTCTTCCCATTTGCAGTTCATTCCCTCTTCACTTACTTTTAAAGTAACTTATATGTGAGTAAAGACTCTCACAGCTGTAGTGCAGCGCATCCAAGATGATAGGGACAAAGGAGAAGTGACACTGTTTCCTTCCCTTCAGTTGGACCACTTCTTTAGCCTATATGGTGTTTTTCAGCTCTGCCTTAAAAAGTTAAGAACCAGAACCAGTCAATTCTTAGACATATGTGCACAGAGTAGCTGCTGGAACACGTTTCTAAAGAAAGTAATCTGCTTTCCTGTGAGATAAGAGGAGAATTTGAGGAAGGCTATTCAGGGAAAAGTGAGGAAATGTTAGCATTCTAAAGGTAGCAAAGAGAGGCAGATTGATTCTGTCAGCCATAGAGCAACCACCTTTACTCTTCATGTTCCTGCAGTATACCCACAACACCTATTCCAGATGGGAACCACCACGTGCAAAAAATGCCCAATACTGATGGGGCAGAGGACCACTGGTAAAAGTTCTAGTGATAGCCCAGGTTTGTTCTAGCGTTTTAAATTAGGATATTTGCACCAAAAAATTCTACAACAACTTTACAATCCAAAATTGCTAACAAAATTCCCCAAACAATCTCTCCTTAAACAAAAATAATGTAAAGCAATCAAATTTTAACTTAAATTTACATGTAGCAAGACTCTCCTCAGACTCATCCTTGGTAGACAAAGATTTCTATCCCATTACTTTTAACTCCATTTCTGTGACTAAAATGGTCAAAACAGAATTCTTCCTTTCAAAGTTTGCTCTTTATGAGTCCTCAGAATACAGCAAGTTTTCTGAATTTTAAAAAAAAACCCACCAACAACAAATTTTGATCAGATAAAGATCAGATCACTTATCAGGTGTTAACCTTGCTGCTGATCATTGTTTCTACTCTTCAAAAATGCCTCATGGGTTATGCATCCAAAATTTTTAAGGAAAAAGCGTGCAATTCAAAAATATAAAGCGTCTTTCTTGATAACACAAACCTGATTGGTTAGAGGTTGTTGAATCTGGTCAGCATACGATAAGGCAGAAACCTGTTGGTCATTTATGTTCTGCTGCCGACGATCACTGTACTGCTGATGTGAATGGGACATCTGTCCAGCCATCTGAAGGCCAGCAGCATGGAATGAAAATGACGGTGCAAGCCGAACAGATGAAGGTTTGCATGCTGAAGTCTCTCCTCCTAGAAAACAATATAACATTTTAATATAGCATTCATGCCCGTGATATTTGCATCAGTTGACCTCCATTCTCTTAGCCTACAAAGTAAACAACACTGGATAAATTAATACTTTCCACATACATAGCAGCCTTTAGAGTTCAAAAAAGTAAAGAAAGCATTATTATTCCCCACTTGCAGTGGGGAATAATATGGAAAGGTGCAGCACAAAGGTATGTTGAAGGCACATAACCAACTTAAAAATAATTTGTTTGAAAAACTGTTTACCTCCTACTGTTACAACTAACACTGAAATCTGTTGTAATTAAACAAAGAAGGAAGGAAAACAGAGTTTTCTGGTCTTTCACTTTATTTTATGCATTGAATAGATCCTTCTGGAAAGTTTGCTTAATTTTCAGTTCTGCCTGATCCCATGAGTTTTCATACAGCTGCAAGGGACAAAGAATATTTTAAAAATTAGGGAAAATGTTGCAGTCACAGTAAAATCTGGGAGATAGAGACAAGTATAATTATGGCTGGGAAAAAATGTTTCAAATGGTTATCTGATAAAAATACAGCACTGGGTCAATCATAGTTTCATAGTTTCTAGGGTCGGAAGGGACCTGAGCAGATCATCTAGTCCAATCAAAGCTATTCACAAGTTTGCGTACAGATTTTGCTGCAAATTTTTTTTTTCAAAAGGTCTGGTACTTTGTTTCAACATGTTAGAACAGAATGTTTAAAATGTATTCTCTGAAATTATTTTAAATTTCAATTTTTTCTTACATTTACCTAACACAGAGGGGAAAAAATTATCAAAAATATTCAAGATTTTCTTTCCTGAAAAAAACTGGAGAAAACATTTTCAAGTGAACCTGAGCCCCCTCCCCTGATGTCAGTTTGGCCAGCAAATCAAAATATTAATTACTTTCACAGCTCCAGAGTGGTGTAGTAAACTAAAAACTTAGATTAAACTAGACAAGAGCTGATGGTTCCTTGCTTGCCTGAGGTCACACATTATGACAAGATGAGCAGGAAAGAACTTTGCTTTCCAGACTCTCAGTTCATCTTTACACCAGAAATAAAAAATCCCAGGAATCTGGTTTTACAGCTGATTTATTAAAAGTGGTATGAACACCAGTAAGCACCCCAACAGCTCCGTAACATGATATTCAGTATATTTAAGTAAAGTTAATCTTGTCTTGGGATAGCACAATAGGCTAGAACATGGGTCGGCAACCTACAGCCCAGCCCATGAAGCCTTGGCTTCGATGGCATTTGGTGACGGGGGGAGCTCTGCCTGTGCCACGCTGGAGTCAGGCGGCCTGGGCCTCGACAGAGGATAGAGAGCTCACCCTGTGCCAGACCAGTCAGGCACCAGGGGTTTTGGCAGAGGGAAGCTCTGCCCATCCTGAGCTGCAGCTGGATCACAGGGAAAAAAGTGGTAGAGCGGCCAGGTCCTAGTACCCACTCCAGTGGGCCACTCTGCCTCTCTCCCTCAACATCCCACCCACATCAAAGCATTGTCCACCCCGTATTAGAATGCTAAATATTCTCTCAACATCCCATCTATACTTATTTCTACACTTCTGTAAAAGAGCACTGGAGAGTTCTAATGATTTTACAGCCAAGTTCAAAGCAGGTTTAATGGATATATTGGTTAGCAAAATGGGGTCCAGTTGTGGAAATTCTAATTCTACTGGCTGTCCTGTAATGTTGAACTCACTGGAAATATTTAAAGGAAAAAACGAAATTATCTGGATATTTTTCTTCTAAAATTCCCTAACAAATAAGTCTTCAATTGTGAACACTAAACCACAAAAGATGACATTTATTTAAACAACATGATACTGAAAGCCTGTCTTAAAATAAAGTCTCTCATAATGTATATTATTATGGCTACACTTGCACAATGTAACATTTTAAAAACTGTAACTATGTCAAGAAAGATACCTAAAGGGTATATTTTTTAATTTTGCTGATACACAACACCTTGGAAAAACATAAGAATTTTAAGCTGCCAAAACACTTAAACAATTACAATTCTTAGAGACTATTTTAAATATGGTGTTAATTCAGAGCCTGTGTACACACTGTGGCAAAAAAGAGAATATACTCTACAATGACAAGATCTCAATTCTTGAAAACCATTTGTTTATTCAATCCTCACTAAATTATTTTTACAATACAACTTTAGCTTCCTCCAAACCATAAACTAGCTGCTAATCAAGCAGTAGACTGCCCATAATCATATCCAGTTTAGTACTACCACTAGTTCAGCATCAGTAGGAAAGAAAATGAAAACATGGTTCCCCAATTCCTTATTTCTAAGGAGACTTGTGGGGTACAGAAGCCATTTCTGGGAACTGGCGTGCCATCACTTGTGTCAGGGATATCAAACTCACCACACCCCTCATGCCAGATCTGGACTGCAGGGGTCCCTGACGGCCAGATCCAGACCTGGCAGCAGTAGGGTGACTGGCACTGTGTTGGCACAGCCTTCACATGCCACCCAACCAGTGACAGCCATGGCAAACATAGCCCTGTAGCCCTGAATTTCGCACCAGGCTGCACTGCCAAATTCTCTGGCCTCCCATGAGCTCCATGGGCATGAGGGAGCTCCCAGGAACTCCATGTGCTGCATGTTTAATTTATGAGAGCTCTAGTATCTGTGCTGATGTGATCTATGGCAGCGTACAGTGAGGAGTGAAAAGACCTCTTTCCCATAACTCCCATCCTCCTAGACTCTTATCTATGGCTCATAATTGACAATACAGAAGTATAATGTGTTGGTACTTACTTTAAAAAAATGGAATTTTACTATGATTTCCAACCACGTACTCACTTAGAAGCTCCTATTCTTGTGATACTGGGCCAGGACACTTAAATCAAACACCTTGTCCAGTGCCAGAAAAAGTATGCAAGAAAAAGGGAGACCTTACGTTCAGCATTAGCAGCTCACCTCAGAGAGCCTCAGCTGCTCTACTTTTCTGAAGTCCACATTTCTAACTCCCACCATTGACCGCAAGCCTAACTAACTTTGACTTACTGACCCACATTGCCCATTCTACCATACAGTACAGGAAGCAAATCACTCTAACTCAATTAACTCCCCCTCGGGGGAGAAAACTGGGCTACAAGAGGCAACTGCAGGGCAACAGACAAAAAAAAATAGGTGGTTTGCTCCAACAACATGGCAAACTCTGTGAACCAAATACTGAGCCTGGTAAGATCTTGACAAAAACGCCAAACTCCACAGCCATGAAATCACAGAATCCACACAACTCTAACTGAGCTAAATCAAGGAGTTTATTAGTTAACACCTTTTAAGTCTTAAGAGGTGTGTCAGGCATTCTTGCAAAGGTCATTTCATTGTGTGCAAGCTGTTCAGAATGTTAACGTTATCTCTGAGACCAGAATCAAAACAAAAAACTTAGATTCAGAAGCACAATTTGGTAGGAAAGAGTGTATTCAAAGACAAATACCATAGCTGCAGAATTCTGGAATACTTGGGACTAAGTAAACTACTCAATAAAACAATGACATTATAATCATATACAGGGCATAAGTTTAGGAATACATAAAAATTAGGAAAAAAGATTTTTCATGAGAATTTTTCTATACTTAGTCACTGTTAGTATATATTAGTGCCCTAAGAATATTACAATTCTTATCTAAATGATGTATGTTAAAGAAATCCCAATGAAAATTACCACAATCTTTTCCTTTAATAATTAAAAAAAAGTGTTAAAAATGAGCATGAAATAATCAAACTTTTTTTCCCTATTTGTATTGAGACAGCAACTTGGAGTATCAGTGACAGAACAGGACTCTCTCATAGTAGATAATACAGCCAGTATTATAGTACTGTATAATAGTAGCCAGTATAATAGTAGGTAATATAGCCAGTTAGTCTTACCTCAATCCTGGGCAAGCTTTTTGAGAGAATTATCCTGGCATGTGTCCATGAGGGACCAGCAGGGGAGATTATGCTTAGGGGCAACCAACATGGGTTCATTAGAGGCAGGTCCTGTCAGACCAACCTGGTGGCCTTCTATGACCAGGTCACAAAATCCTTAGATGCAGGGGTAGCAGTGCATGTAGTATTTCTGGACTTTAGGAAGGTCTTTGACACTGTCTCTCACCCCATTCTCATTAAAAAACTGGGGGACTGTGGCATCAACACCTACACAGTCAAATTGGTCACTAACTGGCTGGAGGGCGGTGGTGGACGGGTCCTATTTGACCTGGAGGGATGTGGGCAGTAGGGTCCCCCACGGTTTGGTCCTCAGGCCTGCACTGTTCAACATCTTCATCAGCAACTTGGATGAGGAGGTAAAAAGCACCCTGTTCAAATTCGCAGACTACACTAAGATGTGGGGGGAAGTGGGCACACTAGAAGGGAGGAATAGGCTGCAATCAGACCTAGACAGGTTACAGGGGTGGGCAGATGAGAACAGGATGGGTTTCAACACTGACAAGTACAAGGTACTGCCCCTGGCGGGGAAGAACCAGCACCGTACCTACAAGCTGGGGAACTCCCCTCTCGTGCATGCAGAGGCAGAAAAGGATCTTGGAGTCATTACTGATGCCAAAATGAACATGGGCCAACAGTGTGGGGACGCAGTCACGAAGGCCAACCGTATCTTGTCATGCATCTACAGATGCATCTCAAGCAGGTTCAAGGAGGTGATCCTCCCCCTCTATGCGACACTGGTCAGGCCACAGCTGGAGTACTGCATCCAGTTCTGGGCACCACACTTCAAGACGGATGTGGACAACATGGAGAGAGTCCAGAGGAGGGCCACCCGCATGACCAAGGGGCAGCAGGGGAGGCCCTACGAGGAGAGGTTACGGGACCTGAACCTGTTCAGCCTCCACAAGAGAAGGCTGAGTGGGGATCTCGTGGCCGTTTACAAAACTAGTCAGAGGGGACCAGCAGGTATTGGGGGAGTCCCTGTTCCCCCGAGCACTACCAGGAGTGACCAGGAATAACAGTCACAAGCTGGCAGAGAGTAAATTCA